ACATTATGTAAGCACGACGTCAAGAAAAGGAAGTAAGGGTTCCTGCCCGGGATGTTATTGATAGATAAAGAGCGAGTACATGAGGTAAGTTAAGATAAAGGAAATAACCCAAGAAAGATTACGCGGAATATGGGATGAGAATGGGCCAACGAGTAGATAGTGGTTGATTCAGGAAGAGCCTAGTCATGACTAGACAAGAGGTTACAGACAAATCAGCAAATCATGGAAGATAAATATAGGGAACCCCAACATGGAGAATTCAGCTTCGTAGTAACGTCATTATAATACTTGAGATATATCTATATAGGAGTTGGGAAGTTAAAAGGGTACCGTATGAGTGTCACGGAAATAAAAGAGAGTGCCACTGTGAAGACAGCCAAAATATTTGTTCAAAAGTAACCCTACAAGCACAAGAGCGTGGAGGTAAGAAACTACAGATAGTTTTAGGCAAGGAAGGAAATTAAAAGGACCGTCGAGTATACGACGTAACAAGTTCGCAGCTTTACAAGAGTCAGAGGGTCCTCCCTAAGTACTACAATGAAAGACTATCTGAGGAAATAAGGAAGAAGGCTTCAACCTAAGCACAACGACCTAAAGAAGAAATGGCCGTGTAACAATAGTCTCACAAGAACGTTGTAAGCACTCTAAAGGACAGTGGCACCTACCGTGGCTAATGAACGGGAAGTAAAATTAAAAGTAATATTCGAGATCACATGAGTTGCACGAAAACTCTGGCATGTATGGACACTAAGATAAGCTAAGTATGGACGTAACAAGGGGCAGAAAGACCAGGAAAAGTAATAGCATACGTTGAAAGAAAGCTAAGATGGAACAAAAGAAATTATCCGATCAATGATCCGGAGTTGGTTACGATATGAACGCACTTAAGAGTTTGGAGTATTATCCATGCAGCATATATGTTGACAATCATACACCCATAGAAGATTCCGGTATAAGTTAAAAGAAAGAATTGAGCCCAGGTCATAGCCAAAGGAATGAATTATTAGAAGATTGTATCATGGATATTCCATAGCATCCATGAAGGGCTAAAGTAATAAATAATACCATGAGCCGCAGAATGGAAGATAACGTAAGCCGACATAAAGGCCGATCAGAAGAAGGAGGAAACTAAAGAGCTACATCAACGAAGTAGATTATTGGACCCAGAAGTTATAGGAATCATGATTGAAAACATAGCAGAATCACTCTCGATATTAGAGGTGCAAGAGAGATAGCACAACAACTATATTCTATAATGGCTCTACGAGAAAGCCAATTAGAAGAATACCAGCCTCATAAAAAGTCAGTATGGAGCTACCACCAGATCGTGTATGCACTAGAGGTGTAAGTATTATAATAGAGCTCCAAGTTGTGGATGTGAATTATACCTATGTGAAAGGGAGGTCATGAGAGAGATAGAAGATGTGATACAAGATTATATGATAAGTAATGTAAAGGTGAACAACGTACGAGATACTCAAATGCAGAAGGTTATGAATAGTCCATACTACGGATAAAAGACTAGAAGCGCTGGTATTCAGTATCCAGGAATGATAGCAGCTCGTCAGTAGCATAACTTTCAGCCTATGGTTTCTAGGTACTGAAAGGTCTATTTAAGAGAATAAAGGAGATTTAGAGATGATGTGATGTCTCGCTTGATGTTCCAGAACAACATAAGGAAATATATGGTGCAAGCAAGTTTAAGAAAGGTTGCGAACAAGTATGAATAGATATGTGTAGGTCGCAAGCTAAAGTATGGTAGAGCGACAAGGCTTTAGGAAGACAGGAGTAAGGATAAGAAAAGGTAAGGGAAAAGGTGACAAGAATTGATAAATCCTTGGGATTAAGCTCATGAAAATAATAGAGCTGATGAATTCTCTAAGTGATAGAAGGCTCACTATAGCCAGAATGAACTCAAAGGAGTCTAAGACTAGTAGCGCTTACAAGAGATGGAATGCTGCCCTGGTATTAGAATAAGGGCGTAATTGTGATAAATAAAGGATGACGTATGGGCCTTCGATTGAGTAATGATTTGAAGAGGATTTCATGAATTGTAAGGGACTAAAATACCCACGCAAGGTGAATTACATTGGGATGCTGTGAGATACGGTTATGAAAGTATAGTATCACCCCTAGGTGGATCGATCTAATTACTCCAGATGTCCCCGGTGAGACGCGAGCCCTAGCGGCGGTGTTACATAAAAGATAAAGTTATTAGTGGTAGATAATGAATCAACATTAAGATGAATCACCAACAGATGGATAAAAGTTCAACAGTATGAGATGAGACTAGACCACCAGTCTTAAGGATAAGCAACGAGAGTAACCTGGAGTTGGTTGCAGGCCTCGGTAACGATAAATCGAGGTAAGAGTTATGGTATAGTATGACCTACTTAGATGCAATAAAGTCATACGGATGGAAAACCGGGTCTATGAAATATGATATAGCCATATTCACAAGTTCTACAAAGTACCGAGCGAAGAACTTCAGTACACCTATAAATGCCCAGAGAGGCATCCTATTAAACCTTGTATATGTTTACAAAGTAAGGTCTAGAGATCGGCTAAAAGTTGGAGGAAAAAGGAGAGAAAAGTCGCATAGGCACACTTACAAGGTCAGTATCGTAGAGGTTGCATGATAGAAGGTAGCAACAGTTACAAGATTGAAAGGAATTCGATCACAAGTCATGGCATGGGAAAGAGGCCTAAAAGGGGGGAGGGGGATGCCCTGGCGTTTGGATTTATTCACAGATCAACTGCCTAAATGACAAGGAAAGTATTGAGGTATTCACAAGAGCTATAAGTTATGAAAATGATAAAAACATCAGTCAACATTCGAGGACGAATGTTCCAAAGGGGGGAATGATGTCACGCTCCGCAATATTACGTCGATATTACATCCCGCAGTGTTATATTACGATGATGTCACGCCTTGCAGTACTACATTACGATGATGTTACGCTTCGCAATATTAAATTACGATGATATTGAACCCTGTCGTATTGTACGTTGAATTTGTCGTAAGGTAATTGACATCAGTCTAACGAAAAGATTATTTGGAGATTATAAGGATTATACTATTTCAAATAGGTGATGAGAAAATTCGTGAAGGTGAGAGGGGAAGCAAGTGAAAGAAAATGAATTTTCATCCAAGTTTGGCATGTTGGGGGTACAATTCGGTCCGAGCGTTAATGCCAGATATTTATGGACTAGTACCATACAAGGTACCATATGACTATGATAGTAGGATGTATAAAGTGTATTAAAAATAAGTGAAATTTTAAGTAATTTGAGACAATTCTTAATTATGCGGGTAATTGGTTAATTACCGGATAGCAGAATATTACCTAAATAAATTAATTAATTGTTCGATAAGGATCAAAATTACCCCACCCCCAAAACGTGGCAGCTAGCCACCTTATAAATAAATGACTAAGAGTCATTCTTGGTGGCATGAGGATTTAATGTGTTAGCTACACATTCCCTTCATTCCATATATCTTATAAATAACTACTATAATTTGAAGACTATCCATTCTTACAATTAGAATGGTTAGCCATGAATTGACAAGTAAAAGTCAATACAAATCAGAACGTTAGTCGTTCTTCAAACTTTCAACAAAATGTCTTTCAACCAAAATCCAACAATTCAAATCAAAGTGGGATTTTGCAATTATAGCTGAGTACGGTGCAATCTTTCTCAATAATATCATACGTATTTTTCCCTACTCCAATCTTGCCGTTACGTGTTGTTGCAATTGACCTGTGTTAGATGGATTGTCAAGAGAACCGACTCAGGTATGTTAAGGCTATCCCTTCTTTCTTTTGGCATGATCCATACGATGCAAACGAAACGTGCAAATGCACGACTTCCATAAATGAATGTATTCATAGAAATGCTAGAGATGCTTATGTTCTTGATTCTCCATATGTCATATTATTCTATTGTCTGTTCATGGGTCTCAGAAAAATACGTAAGTTGAAAAAGTTTACTTCATGATATTATTCAAAGGCATAATGGTCTTATGACACTCCAAGAGATTTTATTGACGTACTTCTCATGCATTGCATACATGTACATTGAACCATGACCAGATGGCGTTATATACGCGTATATATGTATATTATATGTATATGGGATATGGAAAAAGGTTACGGCGTTATATACGCACCACCACCTGATCAGCTGGTATACGTTGATGATTTGCCCACAGTGGCCGAGATGATATGTTGGGATGCCCTCAGAGGCCTGATGATGTTATGAACACATATACCCATGCACGATATGATATTTATACGCATATGCATGACATTATAAAAATAAAATGAATTTACAGAGCTATGCAAACGTATATGTCGAGTCTTTTACTCCATGTCTCTCTCATGTCTATTATTTATGTAGACATGTAATTTTTGACCCGCACATTAGAATTATCCTTAATAGTCTTAGTATTTTTAGAATATTACTTGAGCTTATTTCTATATGATTTTACTTTATTATTAATTTTAATTCTATTTTTATAGGGCACAAAAATTGAAAAAAAAATACAAAAATAATTTCATCTCTTCTATTTCATTCATGTATTAGGTATTTTTCGGAAGATATTATTATTATTATTATTATTTTAACCTTTTTTTTATTCTAATATAATCCTTGAAAATACCAAAAATAGTTTCAACTTCAATTTTTAGTTTTTATTTTTAATATTAATAGTTTATCAAAATCAACTAAGAGTTTTATATTTGTTGTAGGTATTTAAATTGAATTTTTCAGCTTTCTTTTGGCCCAATTTTGTAAAATTTCGGAGCCCAATTCAAATATGAGCCTAAAATTCAACAACCCACTCCCTTAAATCAACCCAGACCCGCCGACCCACCTGTTGACCCGCCCCATTTTCCTTGTAAATCCTAGCCCTTCACTCAATTTATCCAATGGCCCTAATTAAACCTTAGCCCCATATAAAAACCAAAATAAACCAAACCCTAAACCTATCTAACAAACCTTCAGCCGCACCCAACCCCCATCTCCGCTTCTGCCCGCGTGCCTACCACCCCAAACTCGCCGGAAAAACTCGCCAACCCGGCGAATTAACTCACATGGTCCCCTCATGCTCCTCACTCATCATTAGCATCTGATTTTAACGCGTTTTCTTCTCATCTCACGCGCTCTTCACAATTTCTTTGAAGAATCCGAGCCATTCATAAATGGATGATAGTTAAATTGGAGCCGTAGGATCGAAATCTTTGGATCCTAGGCGTCCATTTGCCTAAAACCCATTTGCACGAAAAGGTTTTCGGATTTTTGGGGATTTTTCAGATTTTGTGAGATAAAAAATCGGATTTCTTGGAGAGGAAGGAGGAGGAAGCTTCTAGGGTTCCTATGAATAGGGCTTCTTTGGACAGAAAAAAGGGGGTTCTGGAGAAAAATTGGGGGAGGAGAAATTAGTGTTGAGCCCTTTTCACTTTAGGGATTCCGTCTTTTTCAGACTTTTAGTTTAATTCAAATCTCAGAAAAATACAAAAATACATGTTTCTTCTTTCCAATTTCAATTTTCGTTTTCAAAGATAGGTTTCGATCGAAGTTCCGAGGTCTGGTTTCAAGTTCTTAGCGGTTTGTTGATTGACGGCGAGTTTTTGGTTGCTGGTTCGATCCCTGTTTACCTGCTGCTGTGTCCCTTATTTATTTAATAACTTCATCGAAAAGTTTGACTTGTAATCGCTTACAAACATATTCAATCAAAAGCTTTCGGCATTCAGGTTCATCTCTTTCCCTTTTTCATTTCTGTTTCGGTGCTGGTTTAAGGCATGAAGAGAGCTTAGGATAAAAAGTGATAGAATTTAAGTGTTAATAGAAAGCTGACTTTGCGGGGTTCAAATAGTATTGAATCAATATTAATCGTTTCCTATTACATGTGTTCTGTTTTGCTCTTGGTATTTAAATGTCTCACAGCTTCGATTCTTCCCAGTTCTAATATGGTCGATTGAAGTTTGATTCGATTGTGTGATAGTCTGAGTTGACGAGATATGTTGTGTTACTGTTAGAGTTCGTTTGACTAGCTTCTTTTATAAATGCAAAGTTTTATGCTAAGGCGCATTGATCGATTCGAAATGACTTGATGGAAATCTGTATGTTTCTTAGGTTCAAATGGAATCACTTCCATACCTTCTTGTAATTACAGTTACATTCTGCTTCTCTAATTCGCATGTAGGTTTGTTCTTACTCACTGAAACTTTAAAGTCGACTCATGTTGGTTATTTGGTTTATTCTTCTCAGTTTGAGCATAGTGTAGTCTTAGAGAAATTTGTTATGTTTTTCTACCAGCTGATGAATTAGTTTATCTTCCTGATATCCCAAATTCGTTGTCATTTTGGTTTGAGATTGGCTTGGTTTGATACAATGTTTCTAGATGCTTCTATTCGAATTCCATATTTGTTTGAAGCTTAGGATTTAAGTGTGTAGTTTGGGAATTAATACAATTGAACAATAAGACATGTACTGCCTCTTGTTCTATTTGTCCCATGTACTAACTTGTAGTTCCATCTAATTGCTCTTTCTCTTATTAAGATATATTAGCATCTTTTCTCGAGGCTTGATTAGTTTGATCCTATTTCCTGTTTGTAATGTGGCGTTATGACTGAATATCAGCTACCCGATATGAAAGCCCGTAGTTGAACCTTACATCTGGGAAGCTTAAGTTTCAAGTTATATTAATTGAATGATTGGTGAAGAGTGCATCTGTTCTAGTCTGTTGATTGTTAATCTGATAAATGCATTTGTAGTAACTCTGGTCAATAGTTGGTATTCTGTTTAGACACTGATTCCTTTGGATCCTGTTAAAGTCATTAGTGATAATCTATTTGGTCTTATTTTTATCATTCAGGTACGGATTTATTTACCACAGCTCGAGCATGAGAGATACCCCAGGACCACTGCATTCAGGAGCTTCTTGAGGAGCTTTTTTTTTTTTATTTTTATGTTTTTGAGTCTATTGTTCTTGTTTACTTCCTAATCTTGTACAGTAGTATTCAGTCATTTAGTTGGTGCCAAAGTTGTCGTAGTATTGTTCAGTTTGTCGAGTCTATCATTATCGTACTTCCTGTTTTGTATTTGTAAAACCAAAAAATATTATAAATGAAAAATCTAAAAAGATTTTTATTTTATTTGTCCATTACTTTTTTCAGAACTATGCTTGATCTGATTCATGAGGGACATGATACGTAGGCAACCTACATAGGGTTCGATCGAATCATCATTTAAAAAAACTAAAAAAAAAGAGAGAAAAAAGAGAGAATGAAGTTGTGGGACAAGAGAAATGGGAGGAAAGAAAACAGCGATAAAAAGAAAGAAAAGAGAAGATTGAAATGAACAAAATTGGGATGATGCCATATGACCCTGTGACCCTCAAAGCCATTGTAGACCGCTAATTGTTGCTAGGTGCATTGCATGTAATATGATATTATTATCTGATAAATGCCCTAACGTTAACATGGTGGTTTTGTGTTGTTTTCCTCTGTTATTTTTATTCCAATAACAGGAAGGTGGTTAGTTTGTTGGCATCCTGGCAAGTCATCCATACAACACCCGGTCAGAGCGCCAGATAGTCTTGACTAGTAAAGAAACAGACACAGGAGTTGTAGACCCACCAAGGAAAATTGTTGAATCGGAGTTGGAACTGAAAGAGGAAGTCCGAAGGCTGAGGCATCAGATGGCGAAAATGTATCAGGCCTGGATTAAGGGACACCCTCCACCTTCATTCCCTACCAACTGCGAAGAAAACCCTGCTTCCATTCCTCCACTGCCCCAAGCTTAGATGCAAAATACTGTTGATCTTTCCCCACAACACGCACCAGGCTTCACCCTTTACCACAGTTACCCTGGTACTTCGGCCCAGATTTTCCATCCTCCACCAGCCAAAACAACCTCATACCCTGCTCCGACATCTGCTCCTATTTTTGTACGCCCTCCACAAGCTACCCTCTAGCGATCCTCTGTGAGCCCGCATTCCCAGCTCCAGATATCCAATACTATGCACCGGAGCCCACCTTCAAAGTCCCAGATCCTTACTCCTACACTCCCCACTTTGAGCCTCATGTTGAAACAGACAAACCACCCAAGAACGCAGAGCAAGAGGAGATGTTCAGGAAGGTAAAGAGTCTGGAGCAATCACTGAGAAATATGCAAGGGTTGGGAAACCAAGTGATTGTGGCTTATAAGGATTTATGTTTGTTCCTCGATGTCCAAATGCCTACCGGGTTCAAGATGCCCAAGTTTGACTTGTATGACGGGCATGGGGATCCTGTAGCTCATATGAGAGGTTATTGCAGTAAAATGAGAGGCGCTGGAGGAAAAGACAAATTACTGATGGCATACTTCAGCCAGAGTCTGACTGGGGCAGCTTTAGAATGGTACACCCGCCAGGATGCCAGCACGTGTTACACTTGGGACGATATGGCTCAGGCCTTCTCCCAGCACTTTTAGTACAATATAGACATTATTCTAGACCGCCTATCTCTGACCAAGGTGGAGAAGAAACCCACTGAAAGCTTTAGAGAATATAGGTTCCGATGGAGGGAGCAAGCTGCATGAGTCAATCCTCCTATGGAAGAAGATGAGATGGTTGAATACTTTCATCAAGCCCTGGAGCCCACTTACTATGGCCATTTGATCTCAGCCATTGGTAAGTTTTTCAATGATGTGGTAAAGATGGGACAAATGGTGGAAGAGGGGCTCAAGTCGAGCAAGATCATGAGCTACTCCGCTGTAAAAGCAACCACCCAAGCAATCCAGAGTGGTACCGGAAGTTTGCTGGGCAAGAAAAAGAAGGACGATGTCGCCATGGTTGTCTCTGGGCCATGGCACGGCCAGAGGGGTTCACCTCATCAGTACACCCATCCTCGACCCCGACCTCAAACCTACACCCAAGCCCCATATAATCTACCTCAACATTACTTTCCATCACCGGACCCTCATTATTCTATCAAGCCACCTCAATACCATGTCCACCATGCCCAATCATACACAACCTCCTTCTTACCCACAATGGCGTGCCCCAGCCCCACAGAATACCTACCCTGCTCCACAAACTGCCTACCCACCTCCAGTAACATACCAAAACCCTGCCGGTCCAGGCTCCGGCCCAAGCCAGCATTCAGAAACGAAAGGCTGCAGCGGAAGAAAACTTTCACCCCGCTTGGGGAGTCTTATACCAGTCTATTCCAGAGATTGAGGCAGTTGGATGTGTTGAGGCCAATCGAGTCCAAATTGCCAAACCCTCCTCCAAAGAATCTGGATTACTCCCTCAGTTGTGCATATTTTTTTGGTGCTCCGAGGCACGATACGGAAAAGTGTTGGCATTTGAAAAACGCCATCCAAGAGCTCATCGACACAAACCAGATTGTGGTCCAAACTCCGGAAGCACCCAACATCAATCAGAACCCATTGCCAGCCCATGATGGAACGAACATGATCGAGATAGTACATAAGGATGGGGAGCCCAAGAAGCCTTCACAATTCGTCATGATGATCCGGTCTAGTGAGGTTAAGTCAGTCAAGGGCCCAGTTGTCACAAAATCAATCTCTTTGATAGCTGAAGGATTAGCAGACAAGTTGAGCATGCCAAATGATAAGCCATCTGTGGTAGTTATGAAGAGATCCCCAAGTGATGTTATAGCAAAGCAAGAAAAGCCAAAGGTAATCGTGCTGGGGGTGGTGAATAAGCCTGTCATAATTGTGGAGGGTGCCCGCACAGACACTATCATTATCAAACCTGTGACCCAACTGCCGATAGTCAACACCAAGGCTGTCCCATGGAACTATGAGCGGGTGATAGTGACCTATAAGGGGAAGGAAGTGAAAGAGGAAGTTAATGAGGCCCAGGGATTAACTCGTTCGGGGAGATGCTTTGCCCCGGAAGAGTTAAGGAAAGCTAAAACACTCAGAGACAATCCAGTTCCAGTAAAGAAACCAGTCACCGAAGATGAGGCGGAGGAGTTTTTGAGAAAAATGAAGGCGCAAGATTACTCCATCGTGGAACAGTTGAGAAAGACTCATGCTCAGATTTCCCTGCTATCATTGTTGATCCATTCAGATGAGCACCGCCGGGCCCTGATGAAGATTCTGAATGAAGCTCATATCCATGACAAAATCACAGTGAACCATTTGGAGAAAATTGCTAACAAGATATTTTAGGTGAACCGGATCACCTTCTCGGATGACGAGTTGCCTGTCGAAGGTACCGAACACAACAAAGCTCTCTATCTTATAGTAAAATATGAAGATTATGTGGTTACTAGGGTGTTGGTGGATAATGGCTCCAGTGCGAACATTTGCCCTCTCTCTACTCTGCACAAGTTGAAAATTGATACTGAAAGGGTCCACAAGAATGGTATATGTGTCCGAGGTTTTGACAGAGAGGGAAAAGATTATGTTGGCAATATTGTGCTTGAAGTGACAATAGGACAAGTGGAATTTACCATGGAGTTCCAGGTACTGGATATGGCTGTCTCTTACAATCTGTTGTTGGGTCGGCCCTGGATACATGCTGCCAAAGCAGTCCTGTCCTCTTTGCACCAGATGGTCAATTTCAAGTGGGACAGGCAGGAGATTATCGTGCATGGTGATGAGAGCCTGGGTGCTTACAATGATACCTCTGTTACGTTTATTGAGGCCGAAGATGATAAGGGGCCTTGGGTGTACCAAGTTTCCGAAATAGTGCCAGTTGAGAAGGTTCCCGAAGGGGAATGTATTCCAGGTCTGAAGTTAGCCTATGCATCTGTCATGGTGGCATCTGAGATGCTGAAGAATGGTTTTGTACCGGGCAAAGGTCTGGGTGCATCTTTACAAGGTATCGTTCAGCCAGTGTCTCTACCTGAAAATTTGGGTACGTTTGGTCTAGGATTCAGGCCCACATGGGAAGATGTGAAAAGGGCAAAAAAATCGAAAAGAAGGTATGGGCACTCCCGAACCTATCCCACGCCTCTCCAGGTCTTTTGTCAAACCAGGGATCGTGAAGCGCCCAGTGTCAGCAGTCCCAAATCCCGTGTTTGACGTTGATGAAGAATTAATTGAAAGGTTCCGGAGGTTATTTGATGAGGTGAACATGGTGGAAATTGGAGAAGGTTCCAGCAAAGCGGATGTGCAGTTCGTCGGGCCGAAAGTGAAGCTTAACAATTGGAAGGCTACTCCTCTCCCCACCAGGAAGGAGTTTTGGTGGTTTGCTTTGTTTTCCTTTCTGTTATCTGGGTTATTCCAGGGTTGTAATCCAGATTTTTATCTTTTGCTTGTTTTGATGTTCAAACCCTTCTATCCTTTTATTTTCAATGAAATGCAATTTTCCGTTTTCAGTTATTCCTAATAGTGTTTCATTTTGTTTTTCTTTTGTACAGTTCCTTTTATGTTGGTTGCAACGACATGACATGCATGAGGAATTTTCAACCAAGTCTTGAAAGCCAATCTAATTTTGAAATAATAATCCAAGAAGTAAAGTATGATGATGAAACAAAATATGATCAAGAAGCAACATTTGAGGAAATAAGTAATGAGCTAAAACACTTTGAAGAGCAACCGAAGCCTAATTTGAATGAAACTGAAGCAATCAATTTAGGAGACCAGGATAATGTTAGGGAAACCAAGATAAGTGTGCATCTGGAACCACAAGTTAAGGAAGAAATAATCAAAGCATTGTTTGAGTACAAAGATGTCTTTGCATGGTCGTATGACGATATGCCGGGCTTGAGCACTAATTTGGTAGTTCATAAATTGCCAACTGATCCAGCATTCCCTCCTGTCAAGCAAAAGTTAAGAAAGTTCAAGACTGATATGAGTGTGAAGATCAAAGAAGAAATCACAAAGCAACTTGATGCAAAGGTCATTCGGGTCACTCTATATCCCACTTGGTTAGCTAATGTTGTGCCAGTACCACAGAAGGATGGTAAGACCAGGGTATGTGTTGATTACCGTTATCTTAACAAAGCGAGCCCAAAGGATGATTTTCCATTGCCGAACATTCACATTCTGATCGATAATTGTGCCAAGCATGAGATTGGGTCTTTCGCGGATTGCTACGCGGGATATCACCAGATCTTGATGGATGAGGAAGATGCAGAAAAGACAGCGTTCATCACGCCATGGGGAACCTATTGCTACCGGGTGATGCCATTTGGTTTGAAG